TGCACTGAATCTATAGATTGCTTTGGGTAATATGGCCATTTTAATGATGTTGATTCTTCCTACCCATGAGTACAGTATATGCTTCCATTTATTTATATCTTCTCCAATTTCTTTTTTCAATGGCTTATAATTTTCTGAGAACAGGTCTTTTATGTCCTTGGTTAATTTTTGATGCAGTTGTAAATAGGATTGTCTTCTTAATTTGTCTTTCTGAAAGTTCATCATTTGTGTATAAAAATGCCACTGACTTCTGAATATTTATTTTGTAACCTGATACTTTACTGAATTCACTGATCAGTTCTAACAGTTTTTTGGTGGAATCTTTAGGGTTCTCTACATATAGTATCATGTCATCAGCAAATAACAAGAGTTTTAAATCTTCCTTTCCAATTTGGATATCTTTTATTTATTTTTCTTCTCTTACTTCTGTGGCAAAGGCACCAATACAGTGTTGAAGAGGAGTGGGGGAAGTGGGCATCGTTGTATTGTTCCTGGTCTAAAGGAAAACACTTTTAGCCTTTCCCCATTGAGTATGATGTTAGCTGTAGGTCTGTCATATATGGACTTTATTATGTTGAGGCATGTTCCATCTATTCCACTTTGCTGAGAATTTTTACAATGAATGGATGCTGGATTTTGTTGAATGCTTTTTCTGCATCAATTGATATGATCATATGATTTTTATCTTTCAATTTGTTAATGTGGTGTATCACATTAATTGATTTGCAGATATTGTACCAACCTTGCATCCCAAGAATAAATCCAATTTGATCATGTATTGCTGAATTTAATGTATTGCTGAATTCGGTTTGCTAATATTTTGTTGAGGATTTTTGCATCAATGTTTATAAGAGATATCAGCATATAGTTTTCTTTTTGTGTAATGTCTTTGTCTAGTTTTGAAATCAAGGTAATGATGGGCTCATAAAAGGAGTTAAGGAGCCTTCCCTCTTCTTGAATTTTTTTTTGGAATAGTTTGAGAATAATAGGTGTTAATTCTTATTTGAATGTTTGGTAAAATTTGCCTATGAAGCCATCTGGTTCAGGACTTTTGTGAGAGGTTTTTGATTACTGATTCATTTTCATTGGTGGTAATCGGTTGGTTCAGATTTTCTGTTTCTTCTTGACTCAGTCATGGGAGATTGCATGTTTCTAGGGATGTGTCCATTTCTTCCACACTGTACAATTTGTTGGCATATAATTGCTCGTAGTATTTTCTTATGATCCTTTGTATTTCTGTGAAGTCTGTAGTTATTTTTTCCTCTTCCATTTTTGATTTTATTTATTTGAGTCCTTTTTCTATTTATCTTGGTGAGTCTGGATAAGGGTCTGTCAATTTTGTTTATCTTTTCAAATAACCAGCTCTTGGTTTCATTAATATTTTGTATTGTTTTTCTAGACTCTAATTCATTTATTTCTGCTCTGATCTTTATTATTTCCTTCTTTCTATTCACTCTGCACTTTGTTTGCTGTTCTTTTTCTAGTTCTTTTAAGTGTTAGGTTAGATTATATGAGCTTTTTCTCTTTCTCGAGGTAGACTTGTATTGCTATGAATTTTCCTCTTAGGACTGCTTTTGCTGTGTCCCATAGATTTTGAGTCACTGTATTTTCATTTTCATTTGTCTCTAGGTATCTTTTGATTTCTTCTTTGATCTCATTAGTAATCCATTCATTGTTTAGTAGCATGTTACTTAGCCTCCCTGTGTTTGTGTATTTTCCAATTTTTTTCTTGTACTTGATTTCTAGTTTCATACCATTGTGATCAGAAAAGATGACTGTTATGATTTCAATCTCCTTAAATTTATTGAAACTAGTTTTGTGTCCTAACATGTGGTCTACCCTGGAAAATGTTCCATGTGCACTTGAGAAGAATGTATATTTTGCTGCTTTGGAGTAAAATGCTCTAAAAATATCTGTTAAATCCATCTAGTCCAGTGTGTCATTTAGGCCCATTGTTTCCATGTTGATTCTTTGCCTGGAAGATCTGTCCATTGGTGTCAACAGGTGTTAAAGTCTCCTACTATGAGTGTATTACTGTTGATCTCTCCTTTAATGTCAGTCAATAGTTGCTTAATGTATGTAGGTTCTCCTACGTTGGGTGTGTATATGTTTACTAGGGTTATGTTCTCTTGATTTATTGATCCCTTTATCATTATGTAATGCCCTTTTTTGTCTTTTATTAGAATTTTTGTTTTAAAGTCTATTTTATCTCATATAAAATAGACTTCTTTTTTATTTCCATTTTCAAGAAATATCTTTTTTCACCTCTTTACTTTCAGTCTGTGAGTGTCATTTGATCTGAAGTGGGTCTCTTGTAGACAGCATATGCATGGGTCTTGTTTTCTTATCCATTCGGCAACCCTATGTCTTTTGATTGGAGCAATTAATCCATTTCCATTAAAAGTGATTACTGATAGGTACATAGTTAGTGCCATTTTATTATTTGTATTTGTTATGTCTATTTTCTTTTTTTACTCCTTCTCTTTTTACAGAAGTCCCTTTAACATTTCTTGTAATACTAGCTCGTTGGTGATGAATTCCTTAAACTTTTTCCCATGTGGGAAGCTCTTTATCCCACCTTCCATTTTAATCGAAAGCCTTGCTGGGTAGAATATTTGTGGTTGTAGTTTCTTGTTTTTCATAACTTTGAATATTTCTTGCCAGTTCCTTCTGGCCTAAAAAGTTTCCATTGAAAAATCAGCAGACATTCTTATGGGGACATGCTTTTAAGTAACTAGATTTCTCTTGCTGTTTTTAAGATTCTCTCTGTCTTTGACCTTTGGCATTTTAATTATGGTGTGTCTTGGTGCGGGTCTGTTTGAATTCCTCATTTGGGACTCTTTGTGCTTCCTTAACTTGTATGCCTCATTCCTTTACCAAGTTAGGGAAGTTTTCTGTCATTATTTCTTCAAATAGAGTCTCAAGCCCTTGCTCGCTCTCTTCTATGGTCTGGATACTGTTATGCTTCATGTTGTCCCAGAGGTTTCTTAAACTATCCTGATTTTTTTAAATTATTTTTTTCTTTTTGTTGTTCTGACTGGGTGTATTCTGCTACTTTGTCTTCTAGTTCATTGATTCGACCTTCTGCTTCATCCAATCCACTGTTGAATCTTTCTAGTGTATTCTTCATTTCAGTTATTATATTGCTCATTTCTGTCTGGTTCATTTTTTGGTTTTTATGTTCTTTTTTATGCTTATTATCTCTCTGTTGATGTTCTCACTGTGCTCATCCATTCTCCTCATAAGTTCGTTGAGCATCCTTATAACCGTTATTTTGAACTCTGTCTCTGGTAGGTTGCTTGCCTCCATTTCATTTAGCTTATTTTCTGGAGTTTTCTCCTGTTGTTTCATTTGTAGTGTGTTTCTCTGTTTTCTCATTTTATTAGCCTCTCTGCATTCATTCTTATGGGTCAGGAATATTTGTTTCATCTCTCAGCCTTGGCTAGAAGGTCTAATGTGGAAGGTGTTCTGTGTGGCCCAGTGGCACACTTTCCCTGATCCCCTATGCCACGGACTCTGGATGTGATCTTTGTGTGGGTTATATGTAATCTTCTGTTGTCACCAAGCCTTTATTGTTGTTAGCACACCAGTGCCAAGTTGTTTTCTAAGAGTCTCCGAATGATTCTAATAATCTCTCCACTGCCCTCTCCTAATTTATTACCATCAAGGGGTTAACCACTAACCTATAGTAACACATCCAACATGTTAAAAACATGGTGACAAAAGATTTGACCTTGGGTGGTGAGCACACAGTGCCGTATACAGACGATGTATTATTGAATTGTATACTTGAAATCTATATAATTTTATTACTATCACCTCAATAAATTAAATTAACAATGCTTTCCTCACTTCCAAAACCAACCATCCTCCCAGCTGTCTCTATTCTACTGACCTACCATTCTTTTAATCCCTCAAACTTCATAAAATTTAGAGGTGTCTATTTTGACCCTTCCCCTCTGCTTCATCTGTGACATTTAATCTGCTACAAAGGTCAGCCACTTCTTCTTTTGAAATATCTTTATGATTTCCTTTTTCTTTTTAATTCTATAATCTTACAATTGTCTTATAAGGATACTTTGTTGGTCCTATTTTTTGTTTCTTCCATTTACAACCTATTTATATAATGTTCCCAAGGCTAAGCTTCCTAAGATATATTCTTCCCATAATTACCATCCTGTTTAAGAATCTATGTTTCCTACTACCTAGAGAGCTAAATGCAAATGTTTATAGGCTTATAGCCTCATTTCCTCCACCTTCGCCCTTATTCTCCACTACTACTCTAGTCAACTGGTTCTCCAGGTCCCTGCTAATCTGATCACAATATTCTTCTTGATATGCAGCTATTTAAATTTTATCAATTATTCAGTGCTTAATTTAAGTTCTACCTCCTCCACTTTTCCTACATCAACTTATATGACTTCTAGCCTGGATTCCTAAGGTAATTCCAGACAGCTTATTTAGCTATTCCAATTGTTTCCCCAACCAGATTATATGCCTTCTTAGGTCATAGGAAATGCAAAATATTGTAATTCTAATCTGTTCCCACTTCACTGCCCTCCTCAAATGTCAAGTTTATAGTAAGAATTTAATATACTGATGTGTCATATTGTGTGACATTCAATGAGAACTAGGAAAAATGGATTATCAAGCTTCAAAAGCAAACTGTATCTAATTCAACAGCTTTATTATTTATTATTCTACTTAATACTATAGGTTCCATGCTTGATCTTACACCAAATTAGTCAGTCCATATGCCCACTATATTAGATACTATGGGAGATAAAATAGTATAAGACAAGATTGCTCTCATAAAGAGGTTAATAATCTTTCTAGGCACATGCTTAAAACAGTTTGAGAATAAGACAATACATGTTAAGGTATTGAATTCTGTGACAACCAATTAAAATACCATATGATAGCTAAACACAGTATTCTGAAATATGGTAGACTTTTTTCTAATTTTTATTAAAATATAATTGACATACAATGTTATATTAGTTTCATGTGTGTAATATAATGATTCAATATTTATATACCTTACAAAGTGACTATCATAAATCTAGTAACCATCTGTCACAGTACAAATTTATTATGATATTACTGACTATATTCCCTATGGTGTATGTAACACATCTGGGACTTATTTATTTCATAAGTGGGAATTTGTATATCTTAATCCCTTTCATCTTTTTTCATCCATCCCCCGACCAACCTTCCATCTGGCAACCATCAGTTTGTTCTCTGTTATCTATGAGTCTGTTTATTTTTTGTTTGTTTTTAGATTCCACAAAAAATTAAATCATTCAAAATTTTTCTTCTGACATTTCACTTAGCATAATACCCTTTAGGTCTATTCATGTTGATGCAAATGGCGAAATTTAATTTTTATTTATGTCTGAGTATTTTATATGTGTATGTATGTGTGTATGTATGTGTACATATATCCCACATCATCTTTATTCATTCACCTATCATTAACACCTAAGTTGCTTGCTTCCATATTTTGGCTATTATAAATAATACTGCAATGAACAAAGAGGTTTATATATCTTTTTGAATTAATGTTTTCATTTTTTTCAGGTAAATACTCAGAAATGAAGTTGCTGGGTAGTATGGTAGTTCTATTTTTAATTTTTTGAGGAACTTCCACATTGTTTTACATAGTGGCTGTAACAGTTTAAAATTCCATTAACAGTGCAGAAAGGTTCCCTTTTCTTCACATCCTTGCCAACATTTATTTGTTGAATTTTTGATAATAGCCATTCTGATAGGTGTGAAGTGATATCTCATTGTGGTTTTGATTTTCACTTCTCTGATGATTAGTGATGTTGAGAATGTCTTCATATGTCTGTTGGACATCTGTATATCTTCTTTGAAGAAATGTCTATTCAGTTTCTCTGCCCAGTTTTTAATCAGATTTTTTAAATGTTCACTGGTACAAGTTCTTTATATATTTTAGATATTAACCCCTTATTAGATATATCATTTGCAAATATCTACTCCCATTCAGTACATGGTCTTTTTTCTTTTTGATGGTTTCCTTTGGTGTGCAAAAGCTTTTGAGTTTGATGGTCCCATTTGTTTTTCACTCTTGTCGTACTTGCCTTAGGAGTCATACCAAAAAAATTAATTGCTAAGATTCATGTCAAAGAGTTTACTGCTTGCTCGAGAAGACATGTCTAAGAAAATACTGCTAAGACCAATGACAAAGCGTTTACTTCCCATGTTTTTTTCTGGGAATTTTATAATTTCAGGTCTAAATTTTAAACTTGAATAGTTTATAAAAGAATGCTGCCACTTACCATTTCATCTAGTAATGTTAAAAGAAATCAGAAGAGCAAATCCTAATTATTATTGTATAACAGCTAGCCAAACATGTTTTTTAATGATAATCATGAATTATTAGAACCCTATTCTCACTTGACACCACTCAAATTTAAATTAAAATTCTAAATACTAATTTTATATTGACATAATTTTAAAAAGTAACACTACTTACCATAAGTACACCATATGACCACCAATCAGCACTCTGAGAATGTCCTCTCCTATTTACTACTTCAGGAGCCATATACTCCACTGTACCACAAAATGAGTAGGCCTTCTTTTCTTGATCTACCGATTCTTTGCTGAGTCCAAAATCTATAATAACAATGTTACACAAAAATATATTTGAAGATCTTCAGAAAGTAGAAAATAACAATAAAAAATATGTATTTAAACCTTAAAATTATTCATAGATGGCCTACAATTACTCTTAAGAAAGCTGTGAGACCAATAATGGAAAACAGCCTGTATTTCATAATGGTATTAAGAGTATTTAAAAATTTCTCAGTAAAATCTCATCTCAAAATAGATGTTTTCACGTCTACACCAGAATGTCATTCAATAATTTTGAGGCAACAAAAATTAAATCAAAGCTGTCTTAGTGATCTAAGTTTTAAAACAGAATAAGACAAAAAGGAGACAGTAATGTACACTTTTTAAAATATTAAAAAAGCAAATTTTGCTTTAGCTTTGGTAGGCTTCCATTTTTATTTAAGGTCTTCAAAGAGCTAAAGGTATCTATCTATCTACATATATATGTAGATATATACAAATTAATCTTATTTCTATGAACTAACAATGAAAAATTGGAAGTTGAAATTTTAAAAGTAGCATTTATAATACCACCAAAAAACCAACAAAAAACCATGAAATCCACAGGTATAAATATACAAAGTACATGTAAGACCTGTATGCTGAAAATTAGATACGTCAATGAAAGAAATCAAAGTAGATCTAAGTAAATGGAAAGATATACTGTATTTATGGTATGGACGATTCAGTATTGTTAAAGATGTCAGTTCTCCCAAAACTGATCTAAAGATTCAACAAAACTTTAATAAAAATATCAGCAAAATTTATTTTGTAGAAATCAACAAGCTGAATTTAAAATTTATATAAAAAGACAAAGGAAATAGAATAGCCAAAAGAAAAAAAAAAAAGAAGAAAAAATTGAAGGACTTAACACTATCTAACTTCAATAATTATTGTAATACTACAGTAATCAAGACAGTATGGTACTGAAGAAAGGACAGAAGAAAAAAATGAAGGACTTAACACTATCTGACTTCAATAATTATTGTAATGCTACAGTAATCAAGACAGTACGATACTGAAGAAAGGACAGACATATGCATACAAATGGAACAGGACAGTGTCCAAGACTAACACATACAGTCAATTCTGCTATAATGCCTGTTTTGAAAATGCAAATTTGTTCCCATGCAAGTAGTACATTAGGAAACAATTTGAGCTTAACATGAATTTGAGTTTTGAATTTCGTGTTGGAGTATGTGCAAAACTGCCTGCAAGAAACACTAGACAAAACACAAGAAAACTGCACCTGGCTGAAGCAAGCCAAGGAGAAATGCATACACGCACCCACCTCGAACACCTACCAGCTCTTTCAGCTCATCATGTGTGTTATGAGCCACTTCTGTGCACCTGTAGTGTTAAGCTTTCCTCCCAATTCTAGATAATCTACTTTCCATTACTTCACAATAACTTACAAACTGCTACCTTTCTGACACCAATTCTATAAGCAAATTTCAGGATTTTTTCAAGATAAGCTACCATATTTATTGTAGTATTTACATATTCTTAATAATTTAGAATATGTAAAACAATGCTATCATGTTTTTATCAGCTCCCTACTATTTTTTTCAATTACAGTTGAAAAAAATTTTAATTAAAAAAGGAAGCTGATAAAAACGATAGCATTGTTTTACACTTTCTAAATTATTAAGAGTGCCCATCAATAGACAATTAGATAAAGAAGATGTGGTACATATATACAATGGAATATTATTCAGCCAAAAAAAAGAATGAAATCTTACTATTTGCAAAAACATGGATGGACCTAGAGGGTATTGTGCTAAATGAAATAAATCAGACAGAGAAAGACGAATATCATATACGTCATATCTTTCTTTAATGTGTCACTGGTTATACAGATTACTGTTAAACCCCTAACCCCATTTTCACCATAAATCTTGTCTTTTTTATTCTGCAATTATGCATAGTGCACTAATTTTTAAGATGATACGTGTTGCATTACAATAGAACTGGCTATATATCGTCAATTGATTTCTGACAAAGGTGTAAAAGCAAGCCCATGAAGAAAAGTCAGTCTTTTCAACAAATAGTGCCAGAACAATAGGATATTACATTCAAAAATCTATCCTCATACTATAAACAAACATTAACTCAAAATTAATCGTAGAACTAAATGTAAAATATAAAATCTGACATTTTTAAATATCAAAAAAAATACAGGAGAAAATCTTCGTGATCTTGGATTAGGAAAATATTTCTTAGATAAAACATCAAAAGTATAATCCATAAAAGAAAAAAGAAGTTGATAACTGGATTTTATAAAAATCAAAAACTGCTCTTCAAAAGGTAATGTTCAGAAAATAAAAAAGAAGTTATAGACTGGGAGAAAATATTTGAAATCACATATCTGATAAAGGACTTTTATTCAAAGTGTACTTTAAAAAGTCAAAAAGAAAACAAAAAAACACATTTTTTTTTAAATGGAAGAAAGATCTGAACAGACACTTCTCCAAAGAAATACATGAAAAGATGTTCAATGTCATTAGTTATTAGGGCAAATACAAATTAAAATAATGAGATATTACTACATGCCTATTAGTAGAGCTAAAATTAAAAATCCCGACAGTAACAAGTAATAGCAAGGATGCAGAGCAACTACAGCTATCATACACTGCTAGTGGGTATAGTATGCCGAAAGGTACGGCTGTTTTGAAAAACATTTTGGAGATTTCTCATTAAGTTAAACATATATTTATCATACGACCAAGCAATCCCACTCCTTTGGTATTTACTTAAGTGAAATAAAAATTTATTTTCACATAAAACCTGTAAATTAATATGATGGCTTTATTCCTCACTGACAAATTAAACAGGAAACAACCCAAATGCTCCTTAATTGGGACTAGATAAATAAACCATAGTACCATTATAAAATGGAGCCCTACTCAGCAATTAAAAAAAAAATACTGATACATACAAAAATATGAATGATTCGCAAATGTACTATACTAAGTAAATGAAGCCAGACTCAAAAGACTACATATACTGTATGTCTCTCTTTATATTACATTGTGGAAAAAGGCAAAACTATAGGGCCAGAAAGCAAACTGGTGGCTATTGGTAAAGGAAGGATTGACTTATAATTGGGAAGTTCTCAAGGGTGATGGAACTGTTTTATATCTTGATGTTGGTGGTGGTTTTAAGACTGTATGCATTTGCCAAGATTGCAGAACTATATATGAGTGATTTTTTAAATTAAATTTTATATATGCAAATTCACTGCAGTTATGTGAAATACTACAGAGATCCTGTTTACCCTTTACCCAGTTTCCTCCATGGTAACATCTTACAAAATGATATTATAATACCACAACCACAATATTGACAATGATGCAGTCAAGATACAGAATAAATTCATCACCACAAGGATCTGAAAGATAAGTTTTATGAATCATACCTTAATTCTATAAATGAAAAAAGCTATAAGCCTTATACTGTTTGTTTAAAATAAAATAGAACATTAATACTTAATTTTAGGGCTCCAAGAGAGCCCTAAATATTTTCATTTAAAAATCATTTATCCTTGTATAACTGAATGCATTATGATTTTATGCATAATTTTAAAAAAATATTTTAATGTACAATTAAGTTCTTTCTCTACATTTTGAGACTATTAAACTCTGAACATTCCGTTTCAAAAATTAAATTTCATGAAAGCTAGTGTTCAGGCTCAGTTCAGTTGAATATAACAACTTTGTAGAGAAGAATATTGGCTTCTTTGGCCATTCCAGAGAGGAGGAAGAAGGAAAGAAAATTTTCTTATCCTCCATTCCCTTCAGAGATTTATGCCACCCCAAAGAGGTCGTTGGCTGTACTTTTTTGACCAAACTGATATTTAACACTGGAATTTGCTCAACATTGAAAAAAGAATTTACAATATTAAGAATTAGTTACAGTAGTAAATAAGATATATGTTAATCAGTAGTTTTCCCAAACCACTAATTTGAAAAGAGAAGAAAATGTAGAAATCAGCTATATAAGGGTTTTTTTTTTTTTTTCCTTGAGGGAGTAGGGGCAGTATATCGGTATAATGACAAACAACTTTTACAAGACTTTAAGTTTTAAAAGTACATGCAGAGCACAACAATTTAATGAGTATTTATATACTATTAGTAATTTGCAGATAACCATAAAATTACTTTAAATTATTTTGATAGATTTTTAGTTTTTATTTTATTATTATTGTTATTTTTACATTTTATTTTTTTTCTTTTACACCTCTCCCCTCTGGTAACCACTAGTCCATTGTTCATGTCCATAGTCTCAGTTTGTTTGTCCTGTCCATCTCTTGCTTTTAGGTTTATATTCTACATATCAGTGATATCATATGATTTTCAAACTTTTCTGTCTGGTTTATTTTGCTTAGTATGATTATTTCAAGGTCCATCCATTATGTTGCAAATGGCAGTATTTCACCTCTACTTATAGCTGAGTAATATTCCATTGTATATATGTACCACCGCTTCTTTAGCCAATTATCTATCGTAGGACATTTTGGATGCTTCCATTTCCTGGCCACTGTGAATAATGTTGCTATAAACATCAATGTGCAAATACCTTTCAGATTTGAGTTTTCAAGTCTTTGTGGTAAATACCCAGTAGAGTGTTTGCTGGATCATAATGTAGATCAATTCTTAGTTTTCTGAGGAACCTCCATACTGTTTTCCATAATGGCTATACAAATTTGCAGTCTCACCAGCAGTGTATGAGGGTTCCTTTTTCTCTGCATCCTCTCCAACATTTGTTATTCCTTGTTCTGTTGATTATAACTATTCTAACAGGTGTGAGATGGTATCTCATTGTGGTTTTGACTTGCATTTCCCTAATAGCTAGCGATATTGAGCATCTTTTCATATATATTTTTAGACATTTGTATGTCCTCTAGGGAGAAGTGTCTGTTCAAGTCCTCTGCCCATTTTCTGAATGGATTGTTTGTATGTTGTTGTTGTTGTTGTTATTAAGTCGTAGTTCTTTGTATATTT